CGAAAGAAACGAAGTAATTTACTACTACAACAACATATATATATATATATATATATATATATATATAATGAAATTTAGAATATTTAATTCGCCTGCATTTATCAAAATTAATTTGCCAATTCGAATTCAACAACCTCTTCTAAATTGTTAACGCGAGAAACGATAAAATCATTGCATCAAATGTCAACGCGTCGCGAGGATAAGGAAACAAAGAACATTTCCTTGAACGTGGTCTTGTGGGCGATCTGTTTTACAACGATACATTTCGTCCTACACATGGCGAACATCACGAGGAAATGTCCGCTAACTAAGTGCACTACGACCTAAATTATCGCGTCACGCGTTTGAGTTCCAGTGTTTGATTCGTACCGAATCGAGATGAGCAAAAACTACACAATTGATTAAAACTGTTCTGGTTTCGTTAATGACTCGTCATAATCTATTCGTGCTTAAAAACCATAGGATATAAAATAGGATATAAAACTGTATATTTTTCTAGAGAAAAAAGAATTTTTCCTTCAAGAAGGAAAATTATCTTGCGCCTAGATATTGAAGAAAAGATATGAAAAGAAAAGGAGCAAACAACCTATTCGTTGTATAAAAGAAAGGGAGCCTGGTAACAAAGAAAACTATTACTAAACCAACTTTTCCACTCAAACCAAAACTTCTCCGATATTTTCACAGATACAATAGATACTTCCAGTCTAACGAATTAGCTATTTTTCTTGGGTAAACCAATTAAGAGGAAAACTAATCCAATTAAGAGGCCGATATCCAACAAAAAAATTTTTGCCAGACCCTCAGACTTTTCTTGATATCTCCTCCAGACGACAGAAGACATTATATGTGTATATATATATACTATGAATATTGAACCAAAATAGAAAGTACGGATGATCATTTGGCCGGCTTTGTCGCTCTCTCCACATCCGTGGATCGCAGACACCGAAGGATGAACCGAGGGGGAGAGGTAGGAAGAAGGGTGCGAATTAAAGCATGACAAGAAACGACAGTGGGTCGTGTCGGTGTCGGTCGTTGGGTCGGTGAAGCCAAGAGGATGAATGGGTCTGGCCCTGGGGTGGTTCGCCAGCTGACTGGGGTTGTTGTCATGGCAACCAACCAACCAACCCGGGAGCAACGCCCCACCCCTACAAAATTCATACATATAGTTCACTTCTTTAACTTCTTCACCCTTCTTCAACCCCTTTCGTCGTTCTCTCTATCATCCTTCATTATTTTTCGCATAGCTCTTCTCTCTAGTTCCATACACTATTCCACTCATGAGGGGAATGCAAGATCATCGAGGCAGTTTTATTTGATCGTCTTATTAATCAACGTCTCTTTGTCATTTTGTTTAGAAAAAATGGTACAAGTGGCTGGTAAGTGATATTTAGAAAATATTGCATTATATATTCCATCGCTTTTGGTTAAAAAAAAAAAAAATACTCTCTATAAGGTCAAATGGGTATTTGCGAGATAAGGTTTTCCATTTCATCAGATTTTCAGATTGAAACCTTTAACACTGGTGGATTTCATCATTCTATCGATAAAAATATAATAGATCAGACACTTGTATTTACGCTTAGAAACGTTCGGGTCACTGATTTTATCGAAACTTTGAACACTGGATGGATTTTGTCGTCGTGTTTTGAAAAATATCTTATTTTAGATATGAGATACGTAATAATTATGCTTATACTTTTACACAATGATACTCGTTCAATTAATCAAAATTAATTTTATCAAAATCTTATCAATAAATTATTATTTAACTCAAGTTCCTTAAATAAAATTATATATTTTTCTCGAAATTTCATATCTATTCTTTTTTTTAAGGATTTCTTGCTTATTTAATTTCCTCCTCGTTTAATTCTCAATTTTCATTAAAAATTGAAAATCGAAGAATAAGAACTTCAATGTGAAATACCTAACAACAACAATAATGAAGGAAAAAGGAGAACGTGAACTCGAGTTATTCGTAGAAATGCGCGAAGAATTCTAACTTCAGAGCGCACTAACGATGAATTACGAAATGAACGGACGTCCGTTCACTGTTTTTTGCTAAAGCTCTGGACGAATGGAACAAGACGGTTCACACGTGCTCTAACATGTTTAGCAGACTACGAATTCCACATGATGAATTTTGTAATCGTTCGTGAATCAATCTCTATTTTAACATCTGACTTAATGTCACAAAAAAAGTAGTAATTCTCAGTACCACTCATCCAACTCATCCAACAAATCTCTATATTAAAAGTGAATCAAACAAATAAATATAATTAGATATACGTGAAAAAATATAATATAAAATGGAACAAAAATAAATAAAAGATCAATTAAGATTTTTCATTAAGTTCGGCTCATACAAATTTCTTTCAACCAACTACCTTACCTCAAGGATGTAAGATAATTCTAATTAATTAAAGCTTGATCAAAGGATACATATATTTGATCCCTTCCATATCGAACTTGAAGGTTTCGATTGATTCCCGTTTCGTCGATATCGCTGATGACTGTCATATCCGGGACACCCAACTCAGGGCTCGAGCCTGAAACAAGAAGAACGACTTTTTTTATTACAGTTCTGTTATAAATTATATCTTTTGAAAAATAATTGAATTATCTCAACGAACTTTTTTATAATACATATTTACATCCCTTTCGAATTTTATTTATTTATTTATCCTTGCCTCTTTATCAAGTAATTAGAAAAATAAATTGAGAATATGTCCTTCTGGTCGTTTATTTTAGCTTTTTCACTCGAGTTGTTGGTCACTCAAGCTCCGCGGTGAACACTTAACATTGATCTCGTTCGCTTAAAAGGAACGCGATATGGAAACCTGGTAAATTCTCTGACCACCTGTTGTTCGAGCATGGACAGTACTGTACGTGACGATTCCTTGTCACCTCTAGTGGTCAATTTCCAATGTGATTGAGGTGTTAATAGAAAGCCACTATAGCATCGAATCGAACACGAACGTAACTATATGTAACGAAATTTCGTCCTTTATCCTATCATTTCGTAATATGTTATCGCATAATATAATCAATAAACGTTACTTCATACACTGAAAATGATTATTTCATTAAAAATTAAATTCCTATTGATGAATTATACATTATATAATTCGTATAACGAATATTATGAATATTATAAAATTGCTTATAAAATCGAAACAAAATTTTTTTTTAAAACTCGTTCGATTTAAACAATGAGGCAGAATTTTTACCGCAATTTTATTTAAAAAAAATCTTAATTCCAAATCCATTAATCATAATTAAAAAGCAAATAAATAGCACGCGTACATATTTCACCTCATAATTCGAACGAAGAATTCAATGGAATCAGTGTGTTACAAGGTTTCGAGGAAAGATTCCAGCTGCTCGATTACAATCTCGATTTAATTAACATGCTCTCGCGATGACGAGCCGGGTGTAGTGGTATCGCGTAAATGGCGCCTACCCCAAACACCGTAGTCTCTGATGTAACTGCGGTTTGCTTTTTTTCTCCGGTTCATTAATCAATCCTTTGTACGTCACCATCGCGACTTTTTTTCCTTGTTTGTATTCCAATTGCAGTTTATCAACAGTTTGGTGACGAAGAATTAAATGATTACAATTATATATTCGTTCGCTGCAAAATTTCTCTTTAATCTTTTTCAACACTTACGATTTTGAGGTTAGATTATTGATCCAATCAATTTGGCGATAAATAATAATTAATATTAGATAGATCTGTATCCGTTGTAGATCATTTCTGTTCATTTATATAATCTCTAACGTCTGAAAATTAAAATATGAAAGTGTCATAATATAATTTGCTATAGATCCTTTGCCTCAAAGTTTGTAAGTTTAAAAATTATGAAAAATTAAATAAGAGAAAGATTGTTCCGGAAGTGGTGGTCATAATGTTGCTTAAATGGCGAGGAGAAAAAATTTTCAGAGAAATTGTCGGCCGAGTCTGCAAGACGAAATATTAAATTTCGCGATAGTAGTTAGCAAGGCGGTCCTCAAGGGGTCACGTGACATACGACCTTGGGGAAATAGGATCACAGCAGCTGACGTGCAGGTGTAACGTATTTCGCAGGTGTATATGCACTGCTGCTGCTGCTGCTGCTGCTGCTGCTATAGCACCTGCGTACCGCGAGCACGTGGTTCGCCACAATGATTAGAGATGATGTTCCAATCAGATGAAATCAGATTTTTTTCTTTTTGAATCCCTTAACACCGTCCATCTAACATCATTTAAAAAAAATATATAATTTAAAGCTTTAATAAATTAAATAAAAATCCTAATTTCATTATTGAAAAGTAAAAAAGATATAATTTTGATATATTAAATGGAATCTACTATAGAATATATACGTTGTATATGTGTATGTACACACATTTCTTCGGATTTAAACGTAATCTTACTTATAATATCGTAGATATAATTTCCAAGATTAAGCTGTGTTTGCAAGAAAAGACTATCATTCGATATCAGTCGAACGATCCCCGACACGAAGATTATTGCAACAGTCTCGTATTAAATTCCCTAGAATATAAATATAGAATATAAATAGTATATAATATAGAATATAAATAGCATTCCGACTAACGTTTATCTCGTTTCTTTACATGAAATGGATAGTCCTTTTCTTATTTTCTTTGTCATACTTGAAATGTTTTATCAGCGCTCTCGAATCTTCCATCCATTTCCAAATCGACGAAGATCCTACAGTATTTATAGGAATACAATCGAAAACAATTCACAGCCGCACGTAACTGATCATAGATGCACGATTTTTATATCATTCGATCGTACATCATTTTGTTAGATTGCTTAGTTACAGAGGCTTAAACGAAACGCGCGAAACCGAGATAAAATCTCAGAAGGAATAGATGCAAAGATGGATGAATTTTTTTTCAATATGATGAAATGTGAATCACGCAGAAATTTCGAACTTTCGAAGATATTGAATACATTTTGGTGATAGAATTTTACAGTAAAAATGAATACGAAGGAAGAAACTTCACGCGGTTAAAATATTTTAATGTAAAAGAAAGGATACAGATAGAATAGTAAATCTAATATAATGTCAATAAAATTCATTTCTTTAATATATCTATTTCCAATAAAGAATGAAAAAGTTATAAATTTTACTTTTCATTCTATTTTTCTAATCACGAAATTATCAAAAAAATCCCTAGATGAATATATATATATATATATATATATATAATTAAAAATAATACTAAAAGGTAATTTTTTTAGTTTTTGTTCCTAATTAGTAATTTTGTTTGCAAGAAAAGACTATCATTCGATATCAGTCGAACGATCCCCGACACGAAGATTATTGCAACAGTCTCGTATTAAATTTCCCTAGAATATAAATATAGAATATAAATAGTATATAATATAGAATATAAATAGCATTCCGACTAACGTTTATCTCGTTTCTTTACATGAAATGGATAGTCCTTTTCTTATTTTCTTTGTCATACTTGAAATGTTTTATCAGCGCTCTCGAATCTTCCATCCATTTCCAAATCGACGAAGATCCTACAGTATTTATAGGAATACAATCGAAAACAATTCACAGCCGCACGTAACTGATCATAGATGCACGATTTTTATATCATTCGATCGTACATCATTTTGTTAGATTGCTTAGTTACAGAGGCTTAAACGAAACGCGCGAAACCGAGATAAAATCTCAGAAGGAATAGATGCAAAGATGGATGAATTTTTTTTCAAATATGATGAAATGTGAATCACGCAGAAATTTCGAACTTTCGAAGATATTGAATACATTTTGGTGATAGAATTTTACAGTAAAAATGAATACGAAGGAAGAAACTTCACGCGGTTAAAATATTTTAATGTAAAAGAAAGGATACAGATAGAATAGTAAATCTAATATAATGTCAATAAAATTCATTTCTTTAATATATCTATTTCCAATAAAGAATGAAAAAGTTATAAATTTTACTTTTCATTCTATTTTTCTTAATCACGAAATTATACAAAAAAATACCTAGATGAATATATATATATATATATATATATATATTTAAAAAAATAATCTAAAAGGAATTTTTTTGTTTTTGTTCCATGAATTTTAAAATATATCATATTTCATACAATTATATTTTATCAATTTTTTATCAATAAAACTATACACAGATTTCTAACTTATAATTTCATATAAAAATTTAATATAAAAAAAGATATCGAAATCGAAATTTCATTTATTAAAAAATTATTCAATATTATTATTCAGAGATATAAGACGATTTTCTTTATAAAACATGTTCTTTTTACGTTCAATTAAAAACCACTGAATTTGTTTCTCAAATTTCAATTTTCTTCACATTTATCTTTCTTTGTAAGAAGTAAATTTATTTAATTTTCTGTTCTTTTTGTTTCTTCGCTTGTCCTTCTTGCTGCGTGTTTCCCTTTTACGGTGCGTCACCTTCAAGAAACTTCATGCTGTCGATCGAGGACGAAGCTTTCGTGCAATGATCCAACGACAGTACAGTCCCGAAGAGTTTCTCAGGGAGGTCGACGACACGGTAACAACGGGAGGAAATAATTAACTCGCCGCATTATCATATACAGAACACCAACGTATTAATTTGCCCGAAAAGCGTATAAAGTATTGCCGAACATATAAATTATTCATTTCCATATAGAGTTATATTTTCACACATATCGATTATTAGTAGTATATGGAAATTTCAATTGTTTCGAAAATCGAGTTAAGATAAAAAACGTAATAATGTAACTGAATTCTATAAACTTCACGAAAAACAATTGCATTTAAATTGAAAACATTTGACAAATAGGTTATGTTTTGATCGTAAATATCAATATATCCTCAAGGAATGTGATTTCATAATTTTAAATATATATTTCAATATTTACATTCCATGATTCATTCTATGAGCACGAAATTCCGAAGAAACCTGCTTTTACCAGGATGCTGTCGTGACTCACTCGAAATATCTGTTGCGTACACCATAGAAAAATTCTCAGATTATGTGGACTATAACTTGAAATTGAATTTCACCATGTATATATATTTTGAGAGTAAATAGTTTTGTAAATGATAGAAATTTTTGGAAAATCAATTAGAAATATTTCGCGGTAATTTCACTGATCTTTTCACGTCTCATCAGATCGAAAATATCGAATGCTTAGTTTCGATCGGAATATCGAATGATTAGCGTGAAGTTTGCTTCTTAAAAACACGTTGTAACTATCTAGGGAATTATAATCAACTGTTTCATATCAATTGGAAAATTGATTATGTATATTTGTAAACTGTTTATAAATTGAATTTAAATGAATAATTGAAAATTTAACTAAATTATTTTATTCTTTTGATTGAATAAAAAATATAAATCTTCATATTCTAGATATTCTACTAGAATATATTTTAAACGAGTATTTTAATAAAAATGTATTGCACATATAAAGCAAATATCATTATCCAATTAATCATTCAATTTATTTTGTAATTTTAAATATTCAAGTTTTATTTCATTTTTTGAAAAGATTCAAAATTATTAAAAAAATATATTCACCTATAAAAATATAAATATATTCACCTACTTCCTTTCTGTTTATTATATAAACATATAAATCAATTCGAAATATTTTAATTTTCATCAATATATAATAAAAAAAATGAAAATTTTCATAATTCTTAAAATATATAAGATTTACAAATAACATAATATTAATTTTCCGCAGTTTTAAATCACTGAATGCATTGTACTCTAGTTCAAAATATGTGATCGCATATACATTTGTACCGTAAGTGGTTTTATCATACTACGAGATGATAACTCGAGTTGCTGTTAATATACACTTACATTGTATACATTAAACTGTCATGAATACTGATTATGTACGAACAAAAAGATTGTATTTCCTTTACTTGGTATAGAAATAGATATATTATAAAAAAAAAAGAAAATTTTTATGTGAAATATTTTACATAACAAACATTCAACAATCTTCATGATTTTTCTTTTTAATAAAAAAATATATATATATGTATATATGTATACCTCAAAATTATATATCTCTCAAATTAATAGTCTCAAAATTTGAAGTTTCTTTGTCTTTAGTAGTTGACAAAAATATTTATTTTAATATAAGAAATTTACTTCCAAGAATTAATAAATTAGAATTAAAAATTAAAATGTATATAGGCAAATAAAAGTAAATAATTAAATGATGTTTTCAATCAATTTTAAAATTGAATAAAATTACATAGCGAAAGTAACGAATAAAAAAATTAATTTAAAAATACAAAAGAATGTGCACTTTTTATCGACTTACATGAAAAAAGAATTGAAAAGAAACGAAGCAGAAGATAGAAATCCCTGGACGTATCACTGCACTGCGGATATATATAGAAGAAGGAAAGGTTCACGGATTCAGAACGGAAATCATCGCATATCGTAAAATACCTTCTTTATTGGTTAAATTTTCGTAAAAAATTACTACTGACATTTACACCTATTGTGCGAATGAAGTGATATTAAAGATAATTCGCAATAATGTTAAAGAATACATGATAAAAAGCCACCAGATGTCGCATTGCAAATTAAAAGCTCCATGGAATATGTAGAAATAGATTACCAATTGTGAAAAGTATTTATTATTCACGAAAGAAATTTTCTCTATAAAATAAAAACTGTTAGATAAATGCAATAATGCAATTATATTGTAAAAATTAAAAAAAAGTTATACAATTATATTATAAATAGATGTCATGATCAAGAATTTTGCGATTGAAATTTTGGATTCGATTTATTCTCTTCATTTTCATCCTTTGATTTCATGTAGAAAAATATACGTATTTAAAAGATACACGTAAATAAGATTACGCTGAATGTCGATCGATGACACATTGAATAAAGAATTTAAAAGCTATTACAAATTTGACATCATGGCTCACACAAGCTTTAGCTTATCCTTCAAAACAGTTAATGCTATTTCATTTAGTCTTATTTAAAAACATAATTAAATTATAAGTTCATATAAAGTTCATATAATAATTATATACTATCTATCATATATTTTTATATATAGAATTTTTCTATCAAAAATTTTATTTTTTAAAATTTAAATAAAAATTTAACGTTTTCCTTCCTTTTCTCTATTCGAATAATATATTTTTCGAATAATCGGCGAAAAAAAGAAAAAAACGTGACGATATTCAAATATTTTTACACAATGTCACTGAACTTTATCACGAACTATGAAAGTATCATAATAATAGAGAGCAACTCAACTCGCCTCTTGTTAGTTCTATACCATTATTTCCATTATTATTATTACCATCATAGAATTGCACCACCCACTGTGCACCGCATTGATGCATCATGGACATTACGTGTATATATTTTCATCTCTAGGATATACAATGATTTTTAAACGTATTATTGTATTTTATCAAATCGACGAAAATTCGCGAAAACATAGTTATGTGAGAGAAACGAAACATCAGCAAGGTAGAACTAAATAGTTAGAAAACTTACCCTGCGTGAAGTGCTTAGCAACCATGATGTGCGTGGCTCACGGCTCAGAACATTATTCTCCACCCCCTCGAACGAGACTGTTGCAGGGTAACGATATATCCGGGCAGGAAAAACTTCACTTTCCACGCACGTAATAACGAGCGTTGACGAACCGCGTTTTCTGTCAAAATCACATGTTCGCGAACTGTCTGTCGTTTGTTCACATACTAGGGTGTACATGCAATTGTGTTCTGTGTGCGATTTAAGACGCGACTAAACAAGCACGAGGTACCACGCACATGCTCGACAGTTGCCACCCGACTGATGTTAGGTCTTGGCTTCGCTTTTCAAATGAACTAACCCTGACTCGTTGCGCCACCATCCTTGTGTTACAAACTTCCCCTCCTATTCTACTTTAACGATCGAATATTCTTTTCTGCATTATCGACCGTACTGTGGTTACTGGTTCATAAGAAAACCGTGTGTCAGCACTTGCTAAAACTTCAAATTGATCTAACATAAGATAAAAATTAACTTGATAAAAATTATAGAGATGGAAAATTGTGAAAATAATGATCTAAATTTATTAATTAAATGAATAAATATTGTAATTTATTTTATAATTTACTATTCATATATATTTTACTTACTAGCGTAAATTATATAGACCGCAATATGGTGTTTTCGTAAATTAAAATAAAATTTATGCAAAAATTTATGACTAATACAGAAAATATATCTAAAAATATATCAATAAACAGCATCGAATGAGTTCATTCAGTGCTCCAAAATTGGAGACTTGGTAGAGAAGATTTCAGCAAATTTTGTTTTAATAATCGAACTAAACATATGAATATATCATTAGATAACAACTTATAGAATGCTTTTAACGTCATTACTGTAGTGATAAAAGATTTTTATTTATTATTTTTGCGACGTATAAAATAACGGTAAATTTTCCATCATATCGTTTTTAAGTTATCTACATATATTTTTCGTCATTCTTAAGTATGATCAGACACTTTGAATAATAATACGAAACTGCAAAAATGGACAAGTAACGATGGTGCATTGCCGTATTTGGCTCTACGGGAAGTGTCTTGCCTAAACAGAATCAGAGGATCGACATGTTTTTTGTAGCAGCAATCCCGTAACATAGAGTTACGTCAGTCCAATCGACTATGAATCATTATGCAGAACATATCGTATAACTTTTCAAGGCTTTCATTTTATGATCAGGTTGTACTCCTTGATATTAGATGCCGGTTTTATAATTATCGCAACAGAATTCGATTATTCTTCCTCATTAATATAATTTTGAATACTTTGAACTTATTCAAAAGACTTTTATTTTTAATATTTAATTTATTTATAATTTCAAAAATCTGGTTATAAATATATTTAATTGAAAAAATATTATAAATAATATTAATTTACAAAAAATATGGATAAATATATATGAACGGCATATAATTGAGAATAAAATTTATTTATAGAAACATTAATAATGAATAGTAATATTTGTTTATGTGTATTTAAGAAGTATCAATGATTTCCTATTTATATTTAAAAAATATATATTTAAAAAAGCAACAGGCTCTGAATTTAAAATGGTAGATGAACGGATCGACAAGAGTGGGAGTGAAAACTTTGTTTATATTACCAGCGGTCGCAGATCGGCGATTCTGCGCGCGACAAATTACGCCTTGCGAGAGTTGCCGGACCCGTTTTCAGACAGGTAGTTAAATCGACACTATAGGTCAACATGCGATGAATACTCTTTCACTCTCTTGGAAATATAACACGCATGTATCAAAGATTTTTTCTTTTTACGAGCTTGTGCCAAAGTTTCGAAAGGTCCGTTGACCTACAGTATATAAATGCATCTAGAGATTTAATGTTAGCACTAATATATATATGTATGTATTACTTCGACGAGTATAGCGCCGCCTATAACATATTTTCTATTTACGATTACGAGCAGGTATCCGTGGTATCTTATTCTTGTCCTGGATCCGGGTCCATCAATGATGCGTAATCTCCAGCTGGATAACAAAACGACATGAATTCTTCATACAACCGCCGTTACGTACTTAGAGAAACCGCAAAGTGTTTGATTTAATTTTCTTGGTTTGCTGCGTGGGTGGCTTGCCTTCTCCGTTCACTCTCCACCAATGTCTACCATACCGATCTTATGATGACGTCACATACTGTAGAAGGGGAATATAAAACCTGTTTGACCGTCTCCCTTTCTTTTTCTGCAGTTTTGTAATCGATTCATTTATATATATATATATTATTTTTTTTTTTGTCTATTCTATTCTATTTTTACTTATCTCCTATTTATGTTCTCGTTTTAGCGGTATTTTGTTGTTTTCTATCCATTGTTACGAAGAACGGGCAAATGTGCAGATCACTTGAAATTAGGGATCCGCGCGTGTATGCGCATGCGCAGAAACGTAATTTTTTGCCTCGAACAGAGACTTACCAGCAGTCGTCCGTCTGTCGAGAGCGTGTTGAGGATGATGTTGTTCGTCGTGCGTGAGAGTCGACGACGACGACATTTCGTAGCACGGCGAGGCCCGTCAACGATGTGTTGTCTACGTAGCATTGTGAAAAACTTCGTGTTCGCGTAACGCGAATTTAAAAAAACAAAAGTGAAAAAATACGGTATAACATCTCTCAATTAAGTCCATGCGTTCCATATAGCCATGGCTTCAGTGAAGGTAGCCGTGAGAGTTCGTCCCTTTAATAAAAGGTGCGTGCTATGCAACTAGTGATAAGCTGTGATAAGTTATCAATGTTTTGCGATGCGGATATTTTTTGTTTATCGTAGATTTGTTTTCCGATCGTAATTTTAATTTTGCGAACTATTGAATAACTATTCAAGGCTTGCTACATGATTTAAATGACAATATTCTGAAAAATATTTTTGATATAATTCGTGAACTTTCGACCTTCGACCATAATTCATTCTATGAAACGATCAATCATATGGTTTCGATCGACCCATAGTGCGACTGATGACTGGGCGACAAGATTCTGCCACCTGCTGTCATTCGTTTTACATTTTATGTTCGCGAATTTTTTTATCATTTCGATTATTTTTTTTCTAGTGTCTACGATTCGTGAAAATATGAAGTGTTCAATTTCATGATTAGGGATGTGAATTTGTCAAATTTATATTTCAGGGAGCTGGCAATGAATGCAAAGATGATCGTACAAATGGATGGCAAGAAAACACGGATTTTCAATACCAAGGTATTTCAATAATATTTCAACGTTTTTTTTTTACAATGTAAAGAAAATTATTAAGGTTAAATGATTTTTTTGTATATTATCCGCAACAAGCAATTTTACCTATTAATCTTTGTGCAATTTATCCTTAATGATTGCGAATTAACTTTCCAAAAAGATTTCCAAACTGTAGAACGATTTTTTTTTCGTCCCGAACTACCGTTGACCGTCACGCCGTTAAAACGCTCCGGAGCTCGAATCGTGTCATAATTTCTAGTCGAACGAACCTCGGCTATTGACCTATTAACGTCACAATGACCGCGATGTGAGTATATTATTCATATATATATGCAAAATCTTCTTTGACCTTTCTTACCATTTTAAAAATATTTGTTTTCTAATATTATATCATCGATATCCATTTCTGTCAAGTAAAATTTTTGATCAAGATAGTGAACGAGATAGCGAACAGCATGTCATCTGATCGGAGAAAGTGCGAAAATTATCGCTGGACCAATCCCGGATAAGTCACTTTCGGTCGCACGACACTAAATACAAAACTAACCAATTATATCGCGATTAATATGTTTCATACAAATAAAATTTTATCAATTTTGTTTAAATAACAAATAAATTATTTAAAAAATTATCCTTATTAATTTCAAAATTAGTTTCGTTTGTAAATAGTAATAGAAATTTTTACTTTGTTCATTTCTTATGTTTCATTTTTCAAATCTTTGATTATTTTCTCCATTTTTCGAGTGATTCTATGTTAAAAATTAACATAATTTAATATTTTAACCTTACTTATTTTTCCATAATGATCAGTTATATATTTTACAATTAAAGAAAATAGTTTTTACATAATTCATAACTATAATTTATCTTTATCTTATGTAAGTTAAATGTCCCGTTTTATCAATCTAATAAAACAGACTTATAAAAATCTAACTGAAATAAATATTCGATATAAACATCGTGAGCGTACATTCTATGCGCGCAAAATATCATTCGTAAATGAACACATTTCCAGAAAAATAAATTTTTCTTATAACAATAACTTTATTTCCTCTCCGATATTGAAACAAAGAACATTGAATTCTTTGGAATCGATGACCTCGGCAATAAATCTGATGACTCAAACTTTTTCCCAAGGACGAATCTTAAATTTCTCGTGCATTCACATTATTCGAATGATAATGATCTTCACCTTAGCTCTGCATATACCAATTGCATGATGGGTAAATATAAGAAATCTTACTTTTTAATTATCTATTATTCCTATTCAGCTTTGTGTTGCATAATATATAAAGTGGTTCTTGATAGGTATACGATTAGTTATGTGGGATGCAGCCTAACGAATGCACATGACATAACGGCTTACTGTTTGCCAGCCACTTGTGAATAATGTGCTTCTTCAATGACAATAGTCATCTTATCGGCTTTTGACCTATCTCATCTTTTTTATGATTTTTTTTTTAATAATTAATCAATTATTTTGATAATTTAATTTGATATGATATTAAAATTATTTAATTGTAGGAGAAATTTATTTGATGATGTATATGGTTCAATTGATAAAATAATTTTAAAATAAAATATAATAATTTTCTTATTTCATTGTTTTTAATATATTTATATTATATATATATATAAAATTAGAAAAATTGTATTTATGTATTATTTCCAGACACCGGGTAGTTGCAGAGAAATCGACAGGGAGAAATATAAAGATTTCACATTCGATCATTCCTATTGGTCCTTTGATACGAACGACGATAATTATGCATCCCAGGAAGAGGTGTATATTATTTCATTTTTATGAATTTCTCATAAATTTATCGATTTAAAAATATAAAAAAAAGATAGATTGAATCATTGATAAATTAAGAAATAGAACATTGTTACGATTGATTGATTTACAAAATCGTATTTGGCAATGCTTTGATGATGAGCCACGATCAGAATTAAAATAGAAGACCGGCATGTGTGTACAGATATAGTACTCATTGTCGTAAGAACAAATTTTAATTAAAGATTTTTGAAAACTTTAATATGATATGCGTTCATATATAATCACAATTTTTTAATTATCAAATAAGATAAATTAATTATCATATATTTGTAAATAATTGTATGTAACATGTAAAATATGAAATATCTGTCTTTTATTACTTGCAAAAATTAATTATGTATAATCAATTGATCAATAATTTATCGATCATTTTTATTTATTTAATTTATAATTCATTAAAATTTTTGCAAATAAATCATCGTCATAATTGCATCAATCTATCAAGAAATGTAATTATATATACATTTTAGACGCGTTTGATATTAATGTTAAATATGATAAATATTTTTTTTTTATATACAATGAACGACGATGGCTAATATTGTCATGTTAAAATGCTGATCCTTTTTTTTATTTTAGGTTTTCTATGATCTTGGTACGGACGTAATAGAAAGTGCCTTCGAGGGTTATAATGCCTGCGTCTTTGCTTACGGCCAGACAGGGTCTGGGAAGACCTTTACTATGATGGGCACACCGGTAATATTTTTATTGTTATAGGGATAATTTTATTCTTTTTTTTGTTACAAAAAATTATCCCATTAAAAATTTTTTAATTGTTATTTATAAAAGTTTATTACTATAGTAAAGTAAATTTTATTTCTATATTTCTTACCTAAATATAATTCTTCAAAGTTATTCTTAAATTTAAATTCCCTCATTGTCTTAAATATTGAATATATTTTTCATAAATTTTATCTATAAAAGAAAAATCCTACGGATTAACATATTAATACGCTCTAATGCTTCTGAATCGCAATTCACTTTTCATCGGTACAGAAATTATTACTTTATTGCAAAACGTTTGCCTAAACTTTCACCTGATTTCTATAATTTTTCTTTAACTCAAAATATAATCTTCTTATATAACAATAATTTATTATAACGCAAATAATTCTATTTTTTTTACTTGTAATAATTTTTTATTATGTTTAAATCTTAGGAAGCTCAAGGATTGATACCGCGGATTTGTAAGACACTATTCGCTAGAATGGCTGCTGGTAAAGAGAGCGGAGCATCGTATAGAACCGAGGTATCTTTCCTGGAAATACACAATGAAAGAGTAAGAGATTTGCTAAGACTGGATCAGTCACAGTCTCATTCTCTCAGAGTGCGGGAACATCCTAAAAGAGGACCTTATGTCCAAGACCTGTCGAGCCACCTCGTATATGATTATTCAGACATTCAGGTAAATGAACCCGTCCTCCACTTCCTATTCGTTCCACCACGATACTCTTGAGAGAGATAGTTTTTAAATAAAAAGTCTCTCGCTGTCCGTAGGAATGCATGGTGAGAGGTAATACGCACAGAACTACAGCAAGCACAAACATGAACGACGTGAGCAGTAGGAGTCACGCAATTTTCACAATTACGTTCGTGCAAGCTGGATTATCCGAGGGCAACATGCCATCGGAAACTGTTTCCAAGGTGCATCTTGTCGACTTGGCTGGAAGGTAGTCGAAACGAATACGTTGAGGATATTTTTTATTTTAAATCGTTAAAGAAAAGAATATTATGCATTATTTACTATCTCTCTCTCTCTCTCTTTTATTTTTATTATTAAAACTTAATAAATAAATAAGGATTAATAAAGTAATGCATCAAAAATATTAAGATGAATTAGATGGATAGTTAGATGAATAGATTAAAATGGCTTTTCTTGAACGTATTATATCCAAGAAAACATTGATATTGGTACAAAATTTTTTGTTCACATTTGTGAAAAAATTAGAAAATATAATGTAAATAATATAAATATAATTTTATGTTTAGCGAACGTGCAAACGCTACAGGTGCGACAGGCCAACGACTAAAAGAAGGTGCGCATATCAATAAGTCACTGGTAACTTTAGGTTCTGTGATATCGGCGCTTGCGGAACTCAGTTCTACAGGCGATGCGTCTTCTTCCTCTAAGCGTAATGTCTTCATACCTTATCGAGATAGTGTGTTGACATGGTTGCTAAAGGATTCGCTTGGTGGTAACTCTAAAACAATTATGATAGCTGCTATTAGTCCAGCCGATTGTAATTATGGCGAGACTCTCAGTACGCTCAGATACGCGAACCGAGCGAAAAATATCATTAATAAACCAACTATAAACGAAGATCCAAATGTAAAATTGATCAGGGAACTCAGGGAAGAAATACAAAAATTGAAGTCCCTTATTGGTAAAGATATGGTAAGTGTATACTTTCTCATATACTTTCTTCTGTAGCAAATAAGGAATTTTATATAAAAGTAAAATTTTATCTGTTTATTACAGAGTGTTGAAAGACCACCACAAGTATTGTTAGCTCAAATTCATGAAAAACAAGAACAGGAGAAAGTATTGACAGAAGAATGGACGGAAAAGTGGCGAGAAACGCAACAAATTCTTCAAGAGCAGAAAGCGTTAGGTCTTCGAAAAAGCGGCGTTGGTGTAGTCTTAGATTCAGAGATGCCACATTTAGTAGGAATTGATGATGATCTCCTCAGTACTGGTGTTACACTTTATCATCTTAAAGAGGGCAAGACATTAGTAGGAACAGAAGAAGCACCAACCACGCAGGTAATCATTCAATACTGTATCGTTTCTAAAAAAATTAATTAAAATTCTTTGAACATGAACATCGTTAACGATTAGAACTATGTTTGAATTATAATATAATGTACTATTAATAAATAGGATATTGTATTGACTGGTGCGGACGTGGAGCCAGAACACTGTGTGGTAGAGTTAGATAGTGGCGTGGCGACCCTTCATCCCCTTTCTCTCCATTGTTGGATTAACACCGCTCAAGTAGATAAACCAACACGGCTATCACAAGGCTGTATTATTCTTCTTGGGAGGAACAATATGTTCCGATATAACGATCCAGCTGAAGCGGCGAAACTAAGAAAGGAAGGTGGAACGGGTAATGGTAACTTACAATCCACAGTCGTCAATCTTTCAAGATTGTCCCTCTTGAGTTGGAGTGTCTCGGATTTGCATGCTTCATCCTCTAGCGATAACCTTTTAAATTCGAGCGAAGATCTGCGAGCGCTCGAAGAACTGGAACAGCAAAAAGCTGCTCTTATCAAGGAAAAAGAAGATTTCAAGGTTTGTATTGATTAATTAAACATATTTCTTACTCTAATGAAACTGGGAATACTTCATATTATTATTAAGATATTAGATATAATGTAATATCATTTTTCTATAAAAATTGTGTTTAAATTAATATTAAAAAAAAAAAAAAGGAAAAGAAAACATTAAAAATAATATCTTTCCTATTAACCTATATAGAGGGAACAGGAAGAAAGAGAAGAAAGATGGGCCGCAAGAAGAGAGGCATTGGAAGGAGCGCAGCGTGAGTTGGAACGTGAATGGGGTGCCCAATGGAAAGAATGGGCAGATGCCATAGCAGCTCTCGAATCTCGGCAACGCGAGTTGCGCACGCGACGTCACATCCTGGAACAAGAGCGACGGGACGAAATGACGCAAGTAAGTGACTCGGATGCGCCGTCTCCAGATTTGAACGTAATCTCGATCAAGTATCAATTCTACCTCGTCCTTATTGCTCTCGGTGTCCTTATTTGCTTGTCTGGCAACATCATCATCTACTCGCACGTTTGTCCGTTAAATATGTGACCTCAAAAAATGTATCAATCAAATTGATACATAGCAAAAAAACATCATATTAATTCATATCAATATCTTCACGTGAAAAAAATCACATTGAACATTGAACACAGGAGTTTAAATATAAAAACGTGTTATAAAATTATCGTTGATAATGATCACGTTTTCTACTTCAATTTAATATAGATTATAGAAATTTATTTAAAAAAAAAAGCTTAAAGGTGCTTCAAAGCAACGAATGGCGTCTAATATCAGGATTTTCTCCTGATTGTAATATAATGTAACTAATGTACAATTGCATTGTTAATGGGACAATATTTGTCCAATATGTAATTGAATTTTTATATATAATATATAAAAGAAATGTCTATCTTTTTTTGTATTATACTTTTTCGTTTTCATGCAGGTTCTATTACGGGTTAATATAAAATGCGCCTAATTTCACGCAGATGATAGCTGCCTGTAGAGATTTTAACGCTTATTTTTTTTAATAGCGATAGAAAAGCTTATTGGCGATAAGTTGCCTGAACGATTAAAGTGCCAGTGTTGACAAGATGATTGCCGGACAAATATGGCATTCTGTGGAATGTTATACGTTAAGTACCTTGTAGACGACTGTTAAGTGAACAGAGTAAAAAAAAGAAGAAGAACGTGTTATGTACATATTTGGCCTTGTTTTTTGTAGAAACGTCTATATATATATATATGGGTTTGTTATGCGAGAAAGAAGAAAGAACTGTTGTTATTATATACATATATATATAATATATATATATACGAATACTGTTGATTAATAAATTTTTCTTACAAAAATTGGCCTTCGATCTTCCACGATATAATATTGCACGCACACTTCTGTTATCTGTATTCTATCTCACACATTCTATTAAGCGTTACATGTACATGGTCGAGAGAATTAACGCTCCCGATTAACAAACCCAGTGTATCTTGTTAACAATTTTGTTGGGATACGTCCGCACGTGCACTTTGTCGAGTGCTGATGTTGGATTTAAAAACCTAACTAACCGAATTATTAAGGTAATGTATTATCGCGATTATTTCATTTCATTTCTGTTCATTTCTTCTTTTTTTACCATTAATTCTTAATTTTATATTCAATTGAATTTATCAATAATTCTCACATAAACTAATATTATGTAGTCCCTATTATGCATAAAAAGTAGCATGCTTTCATTTTTATTTTTATTTATTTGTCTCTTACATCTCATAATTAAATATCTGTATACATGATAATTTGTAAAATTTTTTGTTCTTCATTGTTGTTACTTAGAATTCATCTTTCATAAAAAAAAAAATATTAATAATAATAATAAAAAATAAAAAAGAAAAAAAAAGAATGGAAAATGTCTAAACTATAAAGTTTTCAGTTATCTTTTTTGTTAATGCATCGATATCTGTGTGTGTGTGGTACTAGGTAGAAAATTTATGTAGGGAAGTTGCCTCTCTGCGCACAACATTGCAGTCCAAGCATCGTCAGTTTCAAGAATTCATGAGCAATCACGAACGTGCACAAAGATTTCATCAATGGTGGGAGAAGGTAAGAGTCTCTAGACAGAAAGGAAAATTCGGCATAATATGTGGCACGTGTAGTCCGTAGTTTGATGGCACGAACTACTGAAAGAAACAGGGGAAATAGAGAAGAAAGTAATCGCATGCAATATAATTCTGCATCTTGACTTATTTTTTTATTTTTTTTATTTTTTTTTTTTGTTTTATTAATTACCCGTAATTTATTCGTTTCTTCAGTTCTTTTATTTCAATTGTGTGGAAAGTATTGTAATGAAGTAACATAAAGACAAAGATTCGTAGTTTTTCAGTTCAGAAAGAAAAATGTACCATTTCAGACGGATGACGGTGCTGGCAGTGACGGCAGTTTGCCAGAATCTTGGTCAAGTTTGAACGATGATAAATGCGTTGACGCGGTGAGAGAGCTTGTTAATCATCATGTAAGTGAATCTTAAACTATATCTATTTTCAGGTTCAATTATAATTTTAATATACGAGTTGATTCTAGAAGTTATGCATAATTCTTTCTTAAGCAAAGTTCTTTCATGGATTTGTAAATTATAAATATGAATAAAATCAATTGAATTTAATAAAAAGAAATCAAACTTATAAAAAGATTTAAAAGAAATAGTTGTCTATTTTCTGAAGTTAATAAAATTTACATTAAAATCAAAAATTAAAATTCATGTCTAAAAATCTATCTTCTAGAAAAAAGAATTAGCTGTTTTGGAAACTGAACTGCAAAATAAGGTAAAGTCCCTCAATGAACACCAGTGCAAGGTGGATAGAATGGAAGAAGAGTTAATTGAGATAGCTAAAAAACAAAAATATATGCTTAATTTAGAGGTAAAAATTAATAACAATAGTCATTAATTTTTTTTTTCTTATCATTAAATATAGAATATTTTTATCGTTAGTTAGAGGGAGAAGGAAGTACAGAAAAAAAATTGTTACTCGCGAAACGAAGTCAGGAACAATTGCAGGAGATTTTGAGAAGAAAACAAAGTCTCTCGTTAAATTTAAAGCGTGCATTACCCGCTTTTTCAAATGATTGTTCTTTAAGCGGTGATGAAATTCATCAAAATGGAGATACCCAGATGTTTGATAATACATGCAATAGAAAACTTCAAATAGCTTCTGCTTTGAATTTACTGCCACAAGATATTCCAAGTTCCATAGATACAGCAGATACATTTCATACAGCTGCGGCTGATTCTCCTGAACTTCGAATTCCTGAATTCGAAGATTCAGAAACAAAAGAATCACAGGAGTCATTAAATGAGAAACAAAAGGAATTAGAAAAAGTTTCGCCAGAAGTTCACTTGGAGAATAATAGGGCTAAAATATGTGAAGCAGAAAGCAAAAGTTTGGTAAATTTGAATAGAAAATCTTCAATAGATACAATTAAATCAATAGAACAATGTAATGGTAGCGTTAGTGAAAAAACGGAATCAAAATCTCCAACAAATTCTATTATGGAAGAAGATATTCCTGAAGATTCGCTGGAATCGCCAGTGCAACAAAATCCAGCAATGAAACGATTGAACCAAAGAATCGCTCGTCAACGAATGATGGTGATGAGGTGTCTGGAGGCCAATACGCCTTCTAAAGAAGATTTAAACAAACAAATTGCAATCTTACAAGATCTTCAAAAGCAACAAATTGAATTAGAAGTTTCATTATTAGAAGATGAACGAAAAAATCTCAAGCAACAATCTAAGTCACAGTGCGATGATAGATTGTTAGCCAGTGATATAAATGATCGTACACAAAGTGTAGAAACTATAACGTGCGGTGATATTGAATCCACGACTAATTCGGCTACATTATTGACTTTGGCTACAACGCGATCTCCAATTCTCAGGAATCACAGGCCTAATACTAATGAGGAGAATTTGTCGGAATCAGTTGCACCTCGAATATCATCAGGAAGAGGATATTCAACAGTATATTTAACGGTAATTGGTTTTCAAGTATTCTTAGAATTTTGAAATCAATTTTCAGCTTGTTATACATATATAAATATATTATATTTCTTTCAGAGTCAAAATCGAGGTGATCGTTTGAGTAGTCCATATTCCTTAACTATCACGAGATCTCTGCCATCTTTGATAGCAAATGATGCCGATTACGACAGTGTAATTAACGTGATTGTTAGTATACCTTCTTATGTAATACGCGGAGCTGGCACATCCAGTCATTACGAATATGAAGTACGTGTTGTGGCTCAGGATGATAGCTGGACGCTTTTACGTAGATACAGAAGATTTCGAGAGTTATATATTTCTATGCGACAGAAGTATGGTAGCAAGGTAAGACTTTTTAAAATTTATTATTTATTAAATTATATCTCATAAAGAAAAAGATTTGATAGTAGCGATTTTATACGCTTTAATTATTAATTATAAAGGTAGCAGCAATACGCTTTCCACCTCGTCAAGTTTTCCCAAGATATGAGGTTGTGGCACGGCAACGTAGAAAACGATTAGAAGAATATTTACGACGACTGATTCAAGTCTGCTCAGAATTGCCGCACTGTGAATCTCTTTACAAGTACAACGGCAACTTAAGCAACATAGATAAGCAATCACTGCTAGAATTTAGTTCGTTCTTCAGGCGTGGAACGTTCGAAAGCAGCAAATATGGAACAAGTTAAACAATTAAGAAAAAAGCACACATGATTCTCTCGAAGAAGAATGAACAAATTCAAGTGGACGCATAGGAAATATTTATAATTTGTTATGTATTTTTTATATCGATGAACTGGAAAAAAGCTAAAGTGGGGAAAATATTAGCAAAATATAATTACCACTTTTTACAGTTATTACTATATATTTACCAAAATATGTCTCCAAAAGTTTATTGTTTATAAGACTGATATATATATATATATCATATATTTGATATTTGTTTTATTCTTTATCATTAGAGAATAGAAAAAAATATTTTGCAACTTATATTTAAATAAGCAACTAGCGAATCTTCAAATTATTAGATTCTATTAAGAAAGATATTGCTTATTAAAGTGATATTGCTGAAATTATGTATGATTACTTTGTTACGAGTTGCAAATATTTTCCTAATGTTTTTCTCCCGTTAGAATTTTACAATTTTCCAAGTGTACCTTTTTTGCTTTTTCTAGCGAATTGTTAATTTCATTAAAACTCGCGTCTATTGCTAATAAATATAAAGCTAGATCAGTATTGTTACAAAATACGCACGATATAAGGATAATTTGTTGTGCGCACAATCACAGTGACCATGATCGAGCGTTTATGCTCGTGATAATAATTAGATTTCATAAATGATCGCGTTTATTTTTTTGTCAAAAAGCGTCTTTTACACATCGTCGTGACTGAAAATTGACTGGATATTAGAAGGAATACAAGAAAAAAATTAATGAACTTCCTCCTAATATGTAGTTATAAACTTATTGAATTATCATAATTTTACGAAGTGCAAATAATCATATCGCTGTTAAAAATCTTCCGCGTGTGCGTGCGCGAGATTCCGGAAATTTATATATAATATATATGTATATATATATATATATATATATATATATATATATATTATTATATACTATATATACTAGTCTATTTTTCCAAGTGTACCTTTTTTGCTTTTTCTAGCGAATTGTTAATTTCATTAAAACTCGCGTCTATTGCTAATAAATATAAAGCTAGATCAGTATTGTTACAAAATACGCACGATATAAGGATAATTTGTTGTGCGCACAATCACAGTGACCATGATCGAGCGTTTATGCTCGTGATAATAATTAGATTTCATAAATGATCGCGTTTATTTTTTTGTCAAAAAGCGTCTTTTACACATCGTCGTGACTGAAAATTGACTGGATATTAGAAGGAATACAAGAAAAAAATTAATGAACTTCCTCCTAATATGTAGTTATAAACTTATTGAATTATCATAATTTTACGAAGTGCAAATAATCATATCGCTGTTAAAAATCTTCCGCGTGTGCGTGCGCGAGATTCCGGAAATTTATATATAATATATATGTATATATATATATATATATATATATATATATATATATTGTATATACATATATACTGCATTTCGTTTGTAAAGAAGAAAAGAACAGCAACGTTAAAGTTAACTTGAAATCGTTATGTAATGCTTATGGCAATGAAAGAATTGTTAGTAAATGCTAACTTTGATATTATCGATTATTCTCGGCAAAATGTTTCCGCTCTACTTATGAAACTGCTTCTCGAATAAAAAAAAAAAGAAAAAGATATATGCTTTTCAAATTCGAGAATTCTCTTATTATAAGTAAAAAAAAAAAGAAAAAAAAAACTACGCATTTTTCTATTATACAGTCAGATCATTTTGCCTTGAATTTTCTGAGTAACAAGAATGTTATTAACAAAGCTTATACTTAAATCCTTGTTGTTTAGTATCGAATGAAATTTATAGCAATACGTATTGTCATTGAAATGAATAATCAAATGATTGATGATGAATGACACGTATTTCATGGCTGTGTACAAACGGATTTCAAACCCCGAGGAATTGTCCTGAACGGCTAGTGGTACTAGTAATTTGTAGCCGGTCTATACATTTAGCAAATTATTTAGATAAACATTATACCTCATCTTTCATACAATTTCCGAAAAAAAAAAAATAAATAAATGATTATAAACCGCTTTTTTTTATACTCGATCTATGTTCTCTAAATGTAAAGACACATAATAAATTGTTATAGCTCGATTAATTTAATTATGTCCGATTAATATTCTTGTAACCTATAATAAAAAATAAAAAACCTAAATATTGATAAAAAAATTAAAAATTGTCAAGGATTTTAAATATTATTCTACATTTAACATGCAATAGATATCAGATAAATACAATTATTATTTATTATCTTTGTTTTTCATCTTACAAATGTAAATTTATCTTGAGCATTTTTTGTGACATACTAGATTTCTATTCCATGTAATTGTTCAATAACGAAACTTATTATTATTAAAAAATACTGGATCATCCAGTTTTTATAATGCACATTTTCATCTTGATTTGTACCATGTCACATGATGATCCATGATATAAATTTATAAATGACAAATTACAAACGACGAATTTAAACGAAATATAAAAGCTAGACGATCAATATATGAATAGGCACTATCCTTTTGTAATAAATTATGAATATAATGCTTATTATATGTATATATACCTACAGTTAAATGAACACTTGCTCGCTCGCTAATTTATCTGCAAATGGTGCAACAATTACTCTCGTGGCAAAATAAAATGTTAAACCAAATGTAACAGAGATCGGTAATGCTGGCAATGCTTTCTTAAAAATAGCCAGCAATAATAATGTTAAACAAAGTCCCTGAAATAATAAATCCATAATAAAATTTTTATTATTTTAACATAAGATATAAATAATGAAATACGTACAATAAGAATAGCAACGAAACAAGCCAATGTAGTGTTCCAATCGCCATAACTAGATGCTTTCCCAACTAAAACGCTGTAAAATATAAAATCACCAAGACCTAATTTCACTCCTCGTTCCTCCTCAGTAATTGGGACTTGTTGTCCTTGTGATTCACGTGCAACACGATTATCTTGTCTTGATCTTTCTGTCAAAGACAAGGTGTTTTCGCGTACTTCTTGTGCTCGTCTTGCTCCTCGATCACCTAATAATAAAATATTATATAAGATCATCAAAATATTAAATATAAAATAGCAAAAATTTATTTATTACCATGTGTATCTATCCATTCAGGTGTAAATCCACCCTCTTCTGCATCTCCAGATGTAGAATTATTTTGATTATTTGTTTGATTATTCATAGTATATGTTGTGTTATCACTAGCAGCAGTATCATTAGTAGTCATTGTTGCTGTTTGTACATATCCAGCATAAGTCATTGTAGCTGTATACATAATTGTTGAAGAATAAATTAATGCAGGAAAAATAGATTCATTTCGCTCTTGCGCAGTCTCTACAAGTATTCTTAAAGGTCCTTTTGGTGTTAACACAGCAATTAAATCTGAATAAAAAATTATAAAAACTTATATTTTATTTACAACATGCTTATACTTAAAAATAAACCTATTTACCCCAAATACTAATAACACCAAGTACAACCCACGCTGTCCATTCTGGTAAATATTTAATAAAAACAAGCGCCATTAGAGCAGAGATAAAAATAAGATATGCTTGTTGTAACTGTAAAGGACCTTGCCAATGTATACATATCATTCCAACTACTCCAAAATTCCACAAAACTAAACCTAATGTATACAAATCCATTGGAATGTTATATGCTTTTAATACTTGTCTGCAAAAGATATTTTTTAAATTAAAAAAATATAAAAAATAATTTATAAAGTTATAATACTTACTCGCAATATAACATAGAAAACATAGATAACAATAATAAGGAACTTATTATCAACCATCCATGGATTACTTTATAAAATTTATATTTATATAGAACAATAAGTATCACAGTCATAAATACAATGACACTCATTAGTATTAAAGAGTTGGCAACTGCTTGCCAAGCCTTTGTACTTGTGTCAGCACTATCTTCATGAAATGGAGTGTATACTCTGAAAATATATTTAACAAATATTATTCTACTTCAATAAAAAATTATAATTCTATAGAACATAAAAGATTTTAAAATACTTACAAATACATTCCTTTGGTTGTGTAAAAATTTATAGAACTAATTGTGGCAACTACAACTAACATACAAAGAGATACAGGCACAAATAATTTAATAACATGTGCTGCTCCATATTTTAATTCTTCTTCTTCTTCATCTCTATAATTTCTTGATCTACCCTGGACACTACTACTTAATGTACCTCTTCTACCTGAACCTGCATTATTTGATATACCTGGTGTTTGAATATGAACCTCAGGAACTCCATTTTCAATCTATAATTTTTTATACATTATCAAATACATAAAATTTTTCGAGTTATTTTAAATTATGTATATATAAATGTTAATATTAATATATTAATACTTGATTATACGATAATACTAAAGTACCTCTTCGTTACTAATACGCGAACGCCTTTTTCGACCAGTGACCAAGCCCAAATCGTCCGTGCGAGATTCCGCGACGTGACCGTCCATTAGGCTTGTATATTCGTCCGCCGAATCGTAAGTATCACTCTCAGACATTCATCAACGCTTATAGCTATAAATAAATTGACATAAGGATTCTTTGATAGTTTGACGTACGCTTTTTTGTACTTCCGCGCTCTGTTTTAGTGAAATCACACAATAACGTACGACTACATTCGAAAAACCACGATATAAAAATAATTTTTATGCATCAAAGATTATTTATGGAACGTTCTTATAAAAAGCACAACGTAAGATACTTTTGATTATTTAAAAATGAATGCTTTTGCCAATTTGAGACTTTACAAATAAACTCTATACCTGATGGCAGCCATTTTATGAAATGATTACTAATCTACCTCTATCGTTGAGTATGGAGAACTACAAAGAGCGTTGTTTCAAATTTAAATTTTTACTAATTTCAATTTCAAGTAATTAAAATTAAATTTTTTATATCATTTTTTTATTTAAAATTATGCAAAGTTATGTAAAGTTTTTTGAAATTGATCATCATATTTTTATTGTGCAATAAAATGTACATTCCATCGCAGAAATGTGTACAATCAGTACGATGTTAGATCTTTGGATAACGAATTTACAAAGGAATCATATATTAAGTCAATTCCGAATATTAGTTTCTACAAAAAAATTACATAACGTATAATTTCATTTTTTTCTATTTAATTACTATGTTCTATATTGCTACTAAATTTTATAAATGTTCTTAATGAATTCGAATTCTGTAATATAGATTGTATAGAATTTTATTAAAATTTTCAGAAATTCTATTTATTACTTTAGGAGCCGCAAAATGGCACTACAAAATTGTTTAATTATCATAAATTTCAATGATGTTCCCATTAGACTAATGATTTAAAACAATTTCAATTTTGTTTTTATTTTTTAACGAACAAGAAAATATCTACGCAATTCTGTATTTGACAAAAAAATTGAATTAGAGGATAACATATAATATTCCTCCGAATCGTACGAAATAATTACTATATATATATATATACTATATATATATATATATATATATATATAAAATAATTTTTATGCATCAAAGATTATTTATGGAACGTTCTTATAAAAAGCACAACGTAAGATACTTTTGATTATTTAAAAATGAATGCTTTTGCCAATTTGAGACTTTACAAATAAACTCTATACCTGATGGCAGCCATTTTATGAAATGATTACTAATCTACCTCTATCGTTGAGTATGGAGAACTACAAAGAGCGTTGTTTCAAATTTAAATTTTTACTAATTTCAATTTCAAGTAATTAAAATTAAATTTTTATATCATTTTTTTATTTAAAATTATGCAAAGTTATGTAAAGTTTTTTGAAATTGATCATCATATTTTTATTGTGCAATAAAATGTACATTCCATCGCAGAAATGTGTACAATCAGTACGATGTTAGATCTTTGGATAACGAATTTACAAAGGAATCATATATTAAGTCAATTCCGAATATTAGTTTCTACAAAAAAATTACATAACGTATAATTTCATTTTTTTCTATTTAATTACTATGTTCTATATTGCTACTAAATTTTATAAATGTTCTTAATGAATTCGAATTCTGTAATATAGATTGTATAGAATTTTATTAAAATTTTCAGAAATTCTATTTATTACTTTAGGAGCCGCAAAATGGCACTACAAAATTGTTTAATTATCATAAATTTCAATGATGTTCCCATTAGACTAATGATTTAAAACAATTTCAATTTTGTTTTTATTTTTTAACGAACAAGAAAATATCTACGCAATTCTGTGTTTGACAAAAAAATTGAATTAGAGGATAACATATAATATTCCTCCGAATCGTACGAAATAATTACTATATATATATATATATATATATATATATATATATAGTATATATTAACTCTGCTTATATCGATATATAATAACGAATCAAATTCGTACCTTTTGTACATGTCTCCGTTTTAAATCACCAAAAAACAATGTGATATTCATTTAAGTAAAGATTTAAATTTAAGTATGATTTAAATTATTTTGCATGAATAATAAGTGATTTTAATAATTTTTACACACAGATAATTTGATCATGTCAATTTGTAAAAAAAAAAAAAATTAACAAACAAATAACAAACTTATAGATAGAACAAATTAATTTTAGTAATATAAATTCTAATTTCAATTACTTCAACAAAATAAGCTTTACAATATTAACTATTACAGAAATATTTCTTCGAAGTTCTTCTTTTTTTCTTACAGCTTATAATTGATAAATTTAATTTTAAAAATGTAGCGTAATTATCCAGTAAGAAAAATAGTTTAGTGTTGCGCTAATAATGTTAACGGTAATTTGTATATTTATAATATAAATAATAGTGAGTCATTTTTATAATGACACTAATAAAGATAGATAATTAAATACAATGTGTTTAAATACGATTTGTAAAAGCATTCTTACGCAAGATTGTAATAAGTTTTTTTCTCTTTTATATATATATATATAAATCAATTTTTTTTTCAATAACATAGCAATACCATGTTTCGCAGAGAATAATTTCCATTCAATGACTTCAACGTCATTCACGTACTTAACAATTTATGTACAATACATATACACACGGCTTTTCTTCTCAATCTACTTTGTTATAAATTAGTGAAAAAATAATGCTGCTTTGGCCATGGTCTGCATATTGGTAATTATTATTTACCTACAACTTCGTTGCTAAATACCTACACATTCGAATGCGGTTTATCGGATAATCCTCAAAATGGTCAAAAAACTTGAAATGTATATTTATTACAATCTCAACATCTGAATATGGTATTCAATATATTCACCACAATATAATATAATCTTTTCTCTAAAATTTCGTTTACTTATCGACAGCGACGACTGGTATTAATACTTTGATTATTATCACTGTGTTCAAGATAAATCTTTTCTGAAGCAAATAAACTTACTGATATTCAATACTCATATTCATTTTTAAATTATTTCGTTTACTTTCAAAATTCTTTTCGATTTCGTTTCATTTTTTTTTTTTGTTTTTTTTTCTTGTTTTATATTTTTACAATTTTATTACTCAGAATAATACGTTTTGACACAGTATTTAAAATATTTCTATTTTACAAATATCATAAAGCACCAAATACGTGTACCTAACAACAAAAACTGTTCCCTAATTGATTTTTTCTATTAATTAATTTCTTTTATACAATGTACACGAACTAAAATAATTTTTCTGTATTTTTATTTTATTTTAAGAATTGTGGTTGTCAAATTATATTATATAAAATATGTATGGAATGTTTTAATTATCCATAAAGATATAATCAAAATTTAATTGAAATTATGGAGAAAATATATAGAAAAGATCATTTGTATGGAATGTAATACATTAATAGATTTTTTTTTAAAAGATTGCAGTTAATTATCATCATTAAAATTCAAGAGATGTCAATCCGAAATTTTATCAACATTCAGATGAAATATAACTTATCGAGTATCTAAGAGATGTGATATTCGTATTGTAATTCATAAAACTTTGTTATTAAAAAATAACATTTGATTCTTATTTAACATCCATATAGACGTATTTTATGATAATATGGTAATCATGTTCACTTTTTTCATCTTACTACATTACAAGAAATAAAATAACTTTTTTATATCAAGGCATGTATATATATAACATCGAGAATCGTGTTACATCGAGGACATTCGTTATCTTCGATATAAATTAAGATAGAAGCTTTAATCAATATTAATTATATAAGCTTACTTATTCAAGTACAAGAGTAAACTGATCTTACGAAAGTACTGTACAATGAAAATGTTGTCATGTGACACTAATTAAAATATATAACAAATATTTTACTATTGTATTACCTACAATCCATTAAATCTTTTCATATATTTACGTTCCAATAAATTAATATTTCCGTTGCAACAAATAAACAACGATCTGTACATTTAATATAAAAATTAAATCTAAGGACGGAAAACAGAAAACGCTAAGACTAATCGGATGTTCAACGCCCATTGAATTCTTTTGTCATTTTAAAATAGTGAAATATTTAAATCTGCCATTATTTTTCTTATGCACGTACTATTTTTCAATGCATAAAAACAGTGGCCTAGCATTTTTTGTTATTGTAACATATCATAGCATTCTAAAGAATTTTTAAATTACAATAACTAGGATATGCCCAAACAACCACTTGTGCAAAAAATGTTCTTTTTTTATGATACTGATACAAAACTCCTTATTTATATCTTGGACTATCGGGAGGCGTGGGTTGAGTATTCGCTCTCTGTTTCGGTCCAGTTTTAAATGACATCTTTTTCACAGGTCTGGGAGATATTCCATGAAGTGCTGTACTGTCAGGGGTATCATTACTAAACCATACTCTGCTCCCATCAGAAACTGGAAATAAAACCAATAAACTTGTTATGATTGAAGTTAAATATTTGTAATTAGAAGTCATATAGAAGATAATTGTATTATAATAATTATAAATTTGTTATATAAATATATTATCATATTGGAATAAAAAATTAACGTGCAACTTGCTAAAAAATAATATATAATTTAAAAAATTAGTCTATGCTACTTTCTTTGCATATAAATAAAATTTTGTAAATTTTAGAAAAATTTTAGAAAAATATTGGATTATTTGCATTATTTTTTATATAAAATTGAAATAAAATAGATTTACATTTAATTTTTGTAATGTGATAGAAATATCACATCTATATTTATAAATGAGCATACTTATTTATAATTATAAGTAACAAAAACTACTTGCAATGCACAATGCCATACACATATTATATTAAAAAGTTAATTAATTCGTAGATATTTTTTTCATTTTTATAAATTCATTTATTAAGTTTCAAAATATTAATATACAAAAATTTAAAAAAAATCCTCTTATAATAAACTTTTAAGAATATATGCATGCATTGTACAATTCAATCTATAAAGCATCATTAATGAAATAACATATGTAATATAGTATGAATGTAATAAAGTATATTTTGATCTATATCTAATATGTATTTAAAAAGGAAATTTTACCTCTGAATAAATTGTGTAAGACTGTTAAACAAAAATAGTATTAAAAAACATACGAATATTAAATAAAGAATAATTTAAAAAAATATATTTATCCTCAGTTAATTTTTATTAAAAGAAAATTATTTTAATTTTTCTTAAAAAGAATATGTATATGTATGTATACTAATATATATATATATATATTAATAAGGTGTAAATCAACATTTTAATAAATTACAAAATGTATAATATCATTATGGAATATAAAAATATAGTTATTGTTATTTTTTTTAAGCAAGATATATTGGAGTTCATTAAATGAAACTTAAAAATTGTGTAAGTCTGCATGGTTGTTAACATATTATAACATAAAATTACTACAAGGTAACTATAAAAAAAAAAAAAATAAACAGAATATACTTTATAGAAACGACAAATATTGGAAAAATAGCAAAGAAAAAAATAAATAAATTATAATACTACCTTGTTGGGTGGTGTTACAAGGTGGGTGGGGGTTAGTGGACTGAATTAGTCACCTCTATTCGCGCGATTATCACTGCTTGCCGCTGAAGAACTTCGCAGACCAGATCGACCCTGATGTGAATCTATAAGCGCTGCTGCGAGGTTTGACGATGCTGTGGATTGCACGCTTGTTGTAGATCCTGATAGTGTGATATTGATAATAATAATAATAATAATAATAACTGGTATCTAAATTCATGCAAAAACTATTAAAAAGAATTAAATTTTCAATTATAACTTTTTCATAACATCTATAGAATAAAAAAAATTTAACATTTCATAAAAATAAAAATTATGACTGGAATTTAATTACAACCATTTTTTCTAATTAAAGAATTTTTATAAATATATATTTTTAAAAAAAATTTTAAAATATAAAAACTAACCAGATATAGAAGAAGCTCCACTAAATGGACTTGGTGGCTGTACTGGTGAATATACATTAGCTGTAAACTCTTCAAATGTAGTAGCTTCTTTGTGGTTCCTCATAACAGTATCAATAGATCTCGCTCTTTCTTCATAACTGAAATATTTTTTATTGATAAATATATATAGTATTAATATTAGAATAGCAAAATAAAAATAACACTTACTAATGTTGATATAATGTAAGTGTAGATCGTTTTGCTCTACTTGCTGCCAATGCTGTTGTTCTTACTAATGCAGGTAAAACTTTATCTTCAACAATACATTCATCAAAGAGAGGTCCAAAGAATGGAATTTCTGGCTTTCGAGAAATTTGAATTCTATATAATTTATTGTGTAATGGATAAATTACTATTAAAACATCACAAAATTCAGTTGGTATAATATCTCGACGATAATCTCTCCAATGTTCAGACCAAACTATATGAATCTCATCATTACCAAGATGTCGTGTCTAAAAAAAATTTGAAATATCTTATATAATATACTTTTTTCATAAATTTTCATAAGACTGACCTTTTGTAATAAACTCTCAGGACTATCCGAAGGCATTCTTGTTGCTACATGAAAAAGAATTTCTGTAAAAGATGTTGCAAAATATGGTGCTGTAACTCCGGATGCTTTTCCAGGTACAAGACCTCCAAGAAAACCTGTATGTGATTCAAGTTCAACTTCCCACGCCAATCTTGCAATAAAGTTTTCATATTCTTTACTAGCAGTGATATTACTTAATATAGAATTTTTATCTTCTTGTCCTTGACTAACATAAATCACTGCTATTTTATGTGTTTCTCTAGATCGTTGACTATCAAGATTTCGTAATTCTCGTAAAAGTTTTTCGTTTTTGGATAATAAATGCAATTTTCTACGTTGTTCCCATCCAGATAAACCCAAGTGTGAAAACAAAAGACGGCAGTGATGAAACGGCGCTGGAGGAGGACGACATGGTGGTGGGCTTATTGCTGATGCACACATACTAAAAAAAAACATGAATAAATTTAAATATTATAAATATTATTTAATGCCAATATACCTAATGTGTTGATTCCAATTGTTGATATGCTCTTGTTCAGCATTTCTTTGGCTGAGAATTGTGGCAATGGTTTCACTTTCAAGATAATGACCTTGTGGTGGATTAGCAGGTGCATTTAGAGCTATTTCTGGATTAGTTAATACTTCTGGACTTGTATATCCTATATATTGTAAGAGCTAAAAAAAAAACGAAATTAATACAAAAATATTAATAATAAATATTAATATTTTAAAAAAAAATATTAAATTAATAAATATTAATATTTTAAAAAAAAAATATTAAATTAATAAATATTAATAATTTTAAAGCATTAAAATTACATCATCTAAATTATCCATATCACTTGCGGCATTTGCAAACGTAGGCAATATATGAGGTTCACGATGCCTTATTGTATGTCGAGGTGTACAAATTTGAGATGTTATAACACTGCTTAAATCTTCTCCAGGTATTTTTGTTTTCCATTCAACTAAAAATATTAATTAATACTATAATTGAACATATTGAATACATAATACAATTTTTATATATTTTTATTACCATGTTTTGTAAATGCTACCGGCACATCATTGTCGATAAATGGTTGACTATATAAAATAGAACTATCCCAAGATGCTTTTCCTGCAAGATCTCGCAATAATACCCTTACTAATGATGGTGCTGTTGTTAATCCTGCAGTAACACCTCCTCCAGGTGCATCTAATGCTGCTAATTCAACAAGTGACATTATTACAGAATTTGATAACATTAACAATTGTATATTTGGTGCATGAAAAATTGCAGAAGATAGTTCATCTCCATCGATTCCTGGTACATCATCTAATTCAACAACTAATGAAGATAATCGTGCAGCTCCAATGCCCATTGGAAAATGCCCCAAATGATTTATTAAATGCATCATTACCTAGAAAAAAATTTAATTCATATTTATGTTTATTTAAAAAAAATTCAATTAGATCCTACCATCTTTGCTGCTAATTGAACAGACTGAATATTGCCTCGTCGAGGTGATTTTGCACACACTTCGTCAGCTAAATTATCCAAAGTAATATTAGGATCAAAATCATCATCTTCATCTTCATTTTTATTTGTTTGTGATGCATCTTTATCGATTTTATCTTGTACTATATTATCCAAAACCTGTAATATTTTTGATATTTGTTTGATATAATATTATAATAATAATAATAATAATAATAATAATAATAATAATAATAATAATAATAATATAATAAATATTAAATTTGATAATCTAAATTAAATATTAACTATTTAAGTACAAAAATTTTATATATTAAATTTATACAAATCTTTATTATGTTACTAACTGTAAATAAGGTCATTAAGAGAGGTTTTTCTTGAAATACACGTAATAAAACGGATGGACCAAGATGCATAGCCCATTCACCTAAACAAAACAACATTGATATCGTCAAAGGACCGCGTCTTTCTCGAGTACTCATATATCCAAGTGTTTCCGATAAAATCTAAAATATATTAATAAAATAGATACATATATCAATCGAATTTTAAAATGGTTTCTTCAAAACTTACTTGAATTATTTTACATGGCACATTTGGATATAATTCTAACAAGATGTCTGCTTTATCACATAACAATAGAAGAGAGTCACATGCCACTTGAGCAACAGTAGCATGACTAGCCTATAAAATAAAAAAAAAATTTTGTTAATTAAAATACTGTTTGTATTGAATTTTTTAATTTTTTATGATTTCATTCTAATTAGTATTATGCAGGAAATAGTTAATGAGTAACACATATAATAGAGTGATTCTCATTCTCTGATATTAAAATCTTTTTCCTCCAAGTTGATTCAATCTATTAAAAAATTTATTTTGAAAAATTTTATATACATATTTCTTGATGAACTGAAGCATTTAAAGAAAAATAAAGTTATATTTATGAATATCTATAAATCACTGTAATGTATAAAATAATAAATTAAGAACAAACTATTACTAGACGTTTTTACACATATAACTTAGCAGTACACCATGCAACGTTGATGACACTCCTAACAGACATGAAGACATCAGATGACAGATAAATACTGTAACAACACATAATAAGAAATTGATACAAGTTAATTATAGAAAAACTACCTGATCCATTAGTGGATAATAGAAACCAGCTCTGCGACGCTTTGCTCGTTGTATCCGCTGTCAATCAGACTTAGTGGAAGAGATGCTAAATTTCTCACTACCATTATTACATATATACTATTTTTAACAATATACTATAAATAATAGTTTTCACTATTTAACTAAAAATATAACCCAAATAAAAAATATATTAACAACTATAAAATAATTATATATACTTTATAACATGCAATTTATCTTATATTAAAGAAAATTGACACAGAAATTATTCTTCAAATTATTCTAAAACCATTTATCTATAATGAATTCAATACTTACTTTAAGTGCCAAAAGAAGAACAGTAACAGCTTCTGGAATCCTTGAATGCTGATTTTTATAACACAATTCTCTATATATAAACATAGCAATACTTGAAAGAGCTATGCATCTTGCAATACCAGTTGGTTCTCGTCTACAACTTTTTAAAAGGATCGTGATTATATGCTCCTAAAATAAAATTTGTATCAAATATCTTTAATAATTTAATGTAAGTTAATAATTATTATATTTTAATACTTTTGCATCTGGACATGTCATAGTCACAATATCAGTTGCAGTAGGTTGCAATACAGGTAATTTAATTGTAGTAGCCGGTAATGACAGTAATGATCCAATTATTGATACAGCTTCAGTTCTTGGTGCCTATAATTTACAATTTAATTTATAATTAAAAATTCTAACATAACATTTACTAACTTATTATAAAATTTTATTATATAATACCTCAATGTCTTGAGTACTCAGTATTACATTAGCAGCATGAATATAATCCAAAATTAAAAGACTAGATCCAGGAAGATTCAAACTGAATAATCTAGGACCGGTATATTTAACCAGTACATGTAATACTTTATTATCATTACTAACAATGCCACTATGAACTGCACGATAAAAAAGAGTTAAATGTTGTTTTGGTAAATTAATATCTTGTGGTTGAACTGTTAAAAGACAGATCAAACGATAGGCTGCCAATTTACCAACTTCATATTGACTAGGAAGCTGTATCGCCTAAAAATTTAATTACATGATATTTTAATAGCATTATTTTATACTAATGCAAAATAATGCAAAAATATATAATATTAATTTAGAAAATTAATGTCAACCTTGAAACACCATGGAGCAATGACTGTCAATGGAGGTATAAGTTCTGGAGCTGGTGGAGTTGCCTGATTATCTCCAGATACACCTTGATTCAAGCGAATCTAAAAATTATATAAAAATATTAATGATGATATAAAATATTAAAACATATGGATATAAATATATTAAAGTATATGATACTATGCTTTTATAAGTGTCTGCGTAAGTTGAACAAGATAATCCATAACTTGTCCATGAAGAGTAGGATCTTGAATGTTGTTTACATCTCCCAATGCTGATAACATACGACGCCACAATACGACCGCGACATCAGGTAACCATCCACGAACACCACCTCCAGCCATAACAGATCTCCTTTCTGATGCATCGTTCGTATCTATAAGTTAATAAAAAGAAAAAAAAGGAATATAATAATAAAAATACTATATAAATGTTCATAATCAAAATTATATATAAGATAAGAATAAAAACAATTGATAAAAGTAAATTATTTCTTAAAAACTTTTTGGTCAAAACTATTTATAATTTATTAGTAATCAAATATAGATATATTATAAAAATAATGAAAACATGCAAATAATACGAAAATACTTTAAATTTAAATTATAAATATGTTATAAATAGAAAATATTTCTCATATAAATAATTTCATTAATTTAAAAAAATATAAGTAAAACATATTGAATACAACAATGTATTATTATAATTTTTATTATTGTCATCATTAAATAAAATATTTTACTGTTAATATTATGTATATTTATGATTTTTTATAAAAATAAAAGAAAATATAAAAAAGATATTTTATATTTTATAAAATTATAAAATATACACATTATAGAAGTATTCATATTGTTATTACAATTAAAAATTATATTTTCATATTTTGATATAAATATCAAAGAGCAACAATAATATATTTACCGATACTACTGCCGTCAATATTTTCTATCTGTATCGGACTATCCTTATTGCTATCAACTCCACTGCTCGGTGTTGGAGAAGGACAACGCGGTGATGGTGGTTCGCTATCGACTATAATAATGCTATCCAAAGATTTAGCACGTCTGTTTGGTAACATTTTCCGACCAGTTGCTGATGACGATGTAGCACTATTTGACAGTAATCGGGCCATATCTTGCTCTATTGATAGGGGAAGTACTGTGGAAATTTATTTATACTTAATACAGAAATAGGCCACAACCACTGGTAGAAACGTTTGTATCGAAAATAAAATAAATTTGAACAATATTTTACTGACTAAAATCAAGAAAAAACATGAATAAAAAAAATATCGCAAATATCGAGAATAAAAAATAAAGAGATATATAAAATGAAATTGTCTGGCAGACGCTAGATTAGTTATTTTTAAATCAATGTCAAAGCAAAAAAAAGAGACAGTTATAAATAAATTAAACGTATTATCAGCAGCATAGATGGCACTACTAAATAAAAGAGACTATTAAACTATAAATTATACAAATAAAAAACTTAAGAGTTTGATCTTCAATAAATAGACTTACCAGGAATACCACTATGTACAGTATGTGTACGATTCCTATGAAGCTTCGTACGTGCTTTTCCATTGTATATTGTATTATCGCTTGCACTACGAGGGAGAGGTCGTATTTTCCTTAAATCTCGCATCGGATGATCTGTTATCAATAAATATTTCAATTTTTTTTTAAATAATAAATCAAAGACTTAAAGAAGAAAATCATCTTAATATTTCTTACCCGAAACATTTTCTTTAGATACGGTATTATTATCTTGATCGACACTTCCTTTACGTGGTGGTTGAACACTTCCAGTGGAAGCAGCTCTACTTCCTACACCACGACGCTTTTTAGTTTTTTGTTCGCTCAATCTATCTAATGGTAAATCGTTTAAATCTAAGTTATACACGTGCCTAGCAAGTACTCTTGTCAAAGTATCTAAGGTTTTCTAAAAATAATATAAATATAAATAATATTAAATCTTAAATAATATGAATATTAAATTTTTATGGTAAATTTTAATTATACTTACGGCCCATTCTCGAATTAATTCTTCCCATTGTGTTAAAGATGTTAATACTTCCAAAAACTGATCCCATAATTGTGTGGAAATAACAACATTTAAATTGGCCTTAATCCACGTAACAATTAAAGTTTGAAATATAGCAGGAGCAAGTTTTCCACCTATGCTTTCTTGAGTTTTACGTCGAGAAGATTTCTCATTTAAAACAAGAGATGTTATTTGTAATAATACTCTAAAAAATATTATAATAAATTCACGTAAAGATATTGTGCTTTTATTTGTTATTTAAAAAATAAAAACAAAATTTTGATGATATGCACCTAAGTAACTGTTCCCAAGTAGCCGGTTCTAATCGAGAATTCATTACGACATATCGATATACGTTTAAAACTCTTTTGCAACTATCCGTTTGTTCTTCAAGTAATGTAAGAGATGCGTTTGGTCTAGAATTTTCTAAGAAAAAAACATTAGAAGCTTGTGTAATAAATACTTGTAAAACATTTTGTAGTCCCGCTCTTATAAATAAATTTTCTCTGTGTATAGCACCGAGATAAGAATCATTTCTTAATCTTGTTTGACGATAGCTTTCAGAAGGACTTTTATCGATATCGTTTATATCTTTTTTTGAATTTTCTTCTAAATCTCTTTCTTTATGACTATCCAATGGTTCTAACATGAATGGTGGTAATTCCTAAAATAAAATATGTAAATAAATAAATATAATTAAATTAAAAAGTAAATAAATAAATATTATAATGTTTTTAAAAATTACAAATTAAAATCTTACATTCATTTGAATCCAATCTTTATAAACAGCTATAGCCTTTCTTATAGCACCAGCATGATTAAAGTCCAGCAAAAAGGCTTGTCTATATAGTTCATGTACAAAATTCACATTATCTCTATTTCCATACAGAACTTCTCTAACAAGAGTAAATGCTGAAATAGTATTATCTTCCTGATTTTGATTTTCTTGGTGAGATACATTTGATTCAGGTGATAATAAGGATGATTCAGCAACATTTTGAGTAACTGAAACTCGACGAAGTTCTGGTTCTGTATTTTCTTCATTTGGTGTTGTGCTAAAATAAAAATATTTATATCAATTCAATATATTCATAAACTATTAATATATATTGATAAAATACCTATGCGAAAGGTGTGCGACACGAGCATCTTTCCTAGCAATATGAGTGAAACTAGCAATCCACTTAATCAAAGAAACTTTACATAATATATAATTATCCTGATTTTGATTCGTTGGTTTACGCATTGTAGGCAACTCTAAATTCGGTTTGTACAATGAAAAATTATCATCAAACTCAGGACAAATATGACGAAGGTATGTAGCTTTAAAACGTTCTAATAAAAATTGAAAAGTCTTGTGCTGTCGTGAAGATTTATCTCTCCATTCTATCTTTACAACCTGCACATTAAATAGAAATTTTTTCATTCTTTTGCTAATAATATTATATTGCATTATATTGCATTATATTGCATTGATTGTTATTCAAAATATATAGATATACCTGAGTAACCATAAATTCAAGTAATGCTTCTAAAAATCGAACAGTCTCATTATCAAGAGGCTTCTCTCCACTTTGTGGAGGTAAAATAGGTCCACTGTCAACTGGAGTGACAGGACATTGATTTGAACCATTGTCATGAAAAGTACTTTGTGATAATTGTGTATCATAAAATTCTTTCTTGTCTTTATCATCACAACCAATAAGATTTTTTGCAAGTTTATCTTTTTTTCCATCTATTTTACGTTCAGATTTATAAGGAGATGGTTGCTGGGGTGGAAACCCTGGTATCAAGCTTGCAAACATTTGATGAATATGATCAGGAGCATTTTCTCCAAGAGCTTGGTACCACAAAATAAAGTATCTAAAATTATAAAATTATAAATGTTAAGATACATTATATAGAAGTACATTTTTTTATATAATAATATTATTACAAATATGTACCTTATAGCTTCTCTTCGAAGTTTCCAACTATTACCAGGATGTAAAAGCTTCTGCAAAATTCTTGCTAAACTATGACATTGCCATCTTCTATTAAGAAGTTCAGGGAGAAGTGTTAAAACTTTTTCTAAGAGCTGTAATACCTGTTCCAATTCCTCCCTATGTGCTTTATGAACTATAAAAAAAAAAATATATATAATCAAATATGTGTATAATATTTAATTCATAATTTATTTTAAATGTTTTAGATAACTAAAAAGAATAAATAGAAAGCATTAGTTTTATATAATTTTTATGTATATATACATGTAATAATATGAAATATTTTATATATATATATATATATATATATATATATATATGTNTTATTAAT